CTATAAATCTATTTGCAAAAATAATTCTCTTATTGCTGAAAGTTTAAGAGTTTTTTTGTACAACAAGTCGTGGGCTTTAAGAGCAATTGAACATTAATAATTCAGCAATGAATCGATTAAGTAGCTGGCCATTAGCTGTTCCAGCCAACCTGCCAAGTGGCAGTTCAATTGAATACTTTCGAGTCCAGGCATTCGCTTTTGCACTGACAGTTCTTGAGGCTCTCGCAATTGTTTTGTTTTGCTTGATGTGAACATGTTTTTGGCTTGCCACCTAAAAATAGCCCGCAAATCTAAACGGAAATTTAGTCTACATAAATATGTGTCTAAGGCCAGTGGCGGGAAAAGGACAGAGGCATAAAAGTGAAATTGACCAAAAGCAGACACGGAACGAGCCATCAAAAATTGTATGGGAGAAAGTGTCTTGTGACTGAGCTTCGGCTTGCACTTTGGGCGCTGATTGGCTTGCTCTTGGTCCCCCCAGGACACAAGTCAATGGCAGACAAAGTCTTGACTTTGGCAAATCATTCGCAGGATTCGAAGCCCAAGCGAACAATATAAAAAATAAAATAAAATAAAGTAAGGAAAATCCGTCGTGGAACCAAACTCGAAGCCCCATTAACTGCGCTCGAGTGGATAACCTTTTTTCGGGTGGCTTCGAGTGGAATTTTTAATTGCGCCCAGGAACAACAACAGCAAAAATAATGCCTACTGCTGGTTCATTTCAAAAGAAATCACTTCCTTCGAGACGAAGTCGTCTTCGTTTTTTTGGCCAATGGGCCAAGGGAGTGCTGCTCGCAGTAGCGCATCCTTCGCGCTCTTTTTTTCGTTGCCGCGTGTCCTTGCCCCGTGCAGCCTTGTGCCGTGCCGCCTTCACGGACAGGCCAAACAAAGCCAGCCACGTCGACCCACACTTGGGGAAATAAAGCAACGAAAGGGTTGCTGCAAATGTTAGTTTAAGAATTATTTGTCAAGGAAAATGTTATGTGGAGGCTTTGAGTATGGAATGTTAACGAATGAGTGGATCAAAAGAGCAGAGTGGATCGTAAGAGAGTGCGACTGCAGACTGTAAGCGAAGAGCATTAACAGTCTCTACTGCCGTACTGTTAACAGCAAAGAGCGTTAACAGTCACTACTCCACTGCTGTTAACAGCGCTGTTGTACCGCTTCGTCAGTCAAGATATAAGTCTTAAGAGCTCTTCTAATTTCTCGCAGTGCAGACGCTGCCAGCAGATAGCCACGGAGACATGGGGTTTGTTGAGTTTGTGCGCCCAGAGTGCTGCTGCTGCTTTGCATTTAATTACGCTTAAAAATTAATTAATTTCTTTTTTGTGTGGCCGGGTGGGTCGTTGTGGAGTGACTTGAGACATAATCAAGCTGCCGCTGCCAAAGAGCCCTACACTCCCGGCCACTTTTATCTGCCTGGCATTACCCTTGTACTTGATGCCCCCCAATGTCGCCCACCACTGTGGCCCCACTGCAGCTGTAAGTCCCGTTCTGTCAGTGGGTTGCGCGCACTTGTGTGTGTCTTAAATAATTCAAGAAGCGCAGTTTTTGCGGTATCCAGCAAACATCAACAGCAACAACTAAGAGCCAGGCCAAGCATTGTTAAATGCCAAGGATAAATGGCAGTGTCTGGTTTAAGCTTTCACAACATTGAAGGTACGAAGAAGGAAGAATGAAGGAAGATGACTCACCTGTAAATATATAGAACACAAATTTGTTATTAACATTCAGATTTACTTTTCAACATGTTCTGTGCAACCTCGCCTCTAGTGCATTATTTTTCGTTCATCTGCCTGCAATTGTTTGTAATTGTTGCCAGACACAAAACAGATATTCATTTTCGACAGTATTTCGCTTTTCCCGATGTGCAACAAAGACTGCTAAGCCGCTTACAGAATGCAATTGCAGAGAAAAAAACAAAATTTTAATAACTCGCAGGGGCGCGCTGTCATAAACAAAAGCGGCAGAGGCTGCAGCAGCAGCAGCAACAACAAACCTAAAGCAGTGCCAGGCGCAACAACAATTGAGTCAATTTTGCATTTTCAAGGTTCCCATGGCAGTGGTTTTTGTTACCCTAACAAAGCGTAAAGTGATGATGGGAAAGATAAAGCGGAACAACAGCGCTGTTAACGCTGTAGTCGCTCTTCTCTCTCTTACGATCCACTCCGCGCTGGAGTTAGCTTAGAACTTATGATCCACCCACAAGCATATGGCCAAAGCGCAAAGTGCATGAGAATTGTTAGAGCTGTTTCTCTGTTCGCTTCTCTTTCAATATCCATTCGCTAGGGTATCTGCCACTTCGACCTTTTATAATATCTCTTTCGGTGCAGTGTCGAAGGCAACGGAAGCAGCATAGCAACGAGCAAAACCTACGGACGGACGAACGGCTTGATGGACTGAATGGGATTTTGTGTGTGTTCTCTGCAGCTGCTTCTTCCTCCTCGATTGCCGTGGTTTCCACGCCTTCTCTTTGTTGCAGCATAAAAGCAGCGAATATAACATTTTTGTGTTTACTGCACTTTGCGTTGTGGAAATTTTCGTTTGTTTTCCAGGAGGTTATTTTCGGTTCATGCATTATGCAGTGGAGCGAAAACTCAGTTGAATATTTCATAATTTCAATGGCAACAAAAATAGATTATTATTATAACGGGGTGTACAAGTCCACTGCATTAATGTGCAGCAAACAATACATTGTAGCTGTAAATATATCTTTGTGTTGGAAATGTAAACACAACGCCTAAATGTAATGTGAAATAAATAGCTTGCCTTTTGTTAATGGAAATTGATTGTTGGCTGTGGCATTATATTTATATTTAGAAATGTAGTTCCATCGGGTGTACAAAGGAATTTGTTTAACATTTTAGTGCATTTTTTGGTTAAGAATTTGTTGGGCATTTTTCTTTGCCTAATCTTGTTCTGTTCTCATTTTGGCATGACATCTGTTCCCAGCTCATGCCACGTTTACACGTGACTGGCAACATGCCAAAACAGTTCTAGTGCTGGGTAGCTAAAGGAGTGTTTCTTGAAGCGAAAAAAACGTCTCTTATGCAGGTAACGACAGGTAACAAATAATACCCATAGAAAAGGAAACTTCCTACACAACAACTACAAACGCGACCTTCAGGTTACACGTGCTCCAGCTTGACTCATATCTGTTTCCTCAGCTATAAATAACCGTCGAAGCTATATTTACAAACATACGAATATGTATACACACAGGTACACACAGACACAGTATGAATGACTTTGCTTAAAAGCATTTCCTATGGCGTATACATTTCTCGCCATTTTTTTAGACTGTGCCTGGGTTTTTTGTTACTTGCAAACGTAAATAAATGCCGAATAAAACACATGGCCGTTGGCCTTTTAACGCAGACGTCGCCCCGATACCCCCGTGACACGAGTGGGGCTACAGGAAGCAATTTGAAAAGGTACATATACATATTTTTTATGTATGTGGAATGTATTCGAGTATCAGTGGGAAGAAAATTAAAAGCGCTGATAGTATAATGCGAAAAGTAAAAGCAATAAAACATAAAGCATTTCGCTTGTATCTCATTCAGTTTGATATGCGAATGGACTTTATTATCATTGAAATTATAATGATGTGTGTTTTTATGTACGACCATAAAAAAAAGAGAGAGAAAAGAAAGCAAGTCGTAGGGTGAGGGTGAGGGTGAGGGCAGAGGTCCCGACGTACGGGACCAATTTTCATCGCTTGGTCACCCGAAACCCCACACACACACAAAGAAAGCATAGCGGTGTTGGTTGGCTGACCGTTTATTTAGACACCTTTCCGGCCCCGAAGTTCTCATACAATTTGTTCACCTGGCCAATTTGTTATTTATGCTGCGTATATTCGTACGTGTTGATTCTTTATATATGCAAATGACATATTCGTATGCGTATCTACGTGTGTGGATAGATGGCTATTGCTGTATCGATCGAAAGTTTTTATTTTGCTGTTCCGGTCAGCGCAGCTCTAACGGGGCAACATAACTGTTGCGTTCGCTCTCTCTTACGATCCACTAGGCTCTGGAGCAAGCTCAGAACTTATGATCCACTCTTGATCCACCCAGCTGCAATCGTACGCCAAAGCGGAACGAGAATGAGAAGGCTGAAGGCTGAAGGCTGAAGGAAAGAGATAGCCTGATTTTTGTCTGCTTGCTGTAAACCCTCTCTTGAACGGTGACTGTGTTGGTGCTTGTACCGAAAGTATTTATTAGTTCCTGAACCTCTTGAGATTGCCTATTTAATCAACAACAAACGGTGTGTTTGTATCTGGAACAATTAGCCAGCCCACAATTAGCGTTGAGATATGTGCTTGCATATGTATATTTCAAGAGCATACCCATCTGAGGCCACTCTCAATTCAATTAATCTCAACCGTGAAACAATGGAGGGCCATTCGCTAATTAGGAGCCCGATATAATCAAAACAAAACACCAGATAGATGCGCAAAAACACAAACACACAAACCCAAATAGATAGAGGCAATACCCAGTAGGAGTACTCACAGATGCATCAATTATGTGGCCCCACTAATTTGTCTACATTTTGGGTGCCTAAATAATTGCAGACAGCTTGTCTTTTGTGGGGAGGGGGACACGAACAATCAGGGAACACAAACCAATATTTGCACTGGCACCCACCCCCTTGAGCGACGACTACGGAGGGAAAGAGAGCGGCGGCGTCACATAAACGAATTATGCAAGGCAACAACAGAGCAGCAGCCGACAGTCAAACGAATGACACAAGCCGATGGTATGGCATGGCATGGTATGCACATAACTGGATTAACATATACGATAACTTCATCAGCATATATATCCTCCATCGTGGGCATATTTGTGTCTCTCTCCCTCTGTCTCCTCCTCTCTCTGTTTTAATTAAAATTCGCATACATATGTAACAGACAGGGTAGGCTACTGCTGCCCTCTACTGTCAGACGTGTAGTACTTATATTACTTATTTCATTGCCAAACACACATCGACAGACAAGACAGCTCTGAAAATCGAATTTTTAGTCGAATTTAATGTAGCTCAAACAATACGAGTGACCAAAGCAACAGTAATGGCACAATCCAAAGTATGTACAGTTCTTGCCTTAATGCTGATGCTGCACGGCGTTTATGGTTTGTTCAATTTTCAGATATTTACAGACGATGGTAAGTACATTTACTTATCAATATAAGTATATTTTATATCAGGAATGTCTTGATCCCCCCATAGCGTATCCAAATAAATGTGTGGTTGATGGTGCCGAAAATAAACGTTTGATCATCGACAGTGGCAAATCGGCAAGACATCCCGATAAGTGTCTCCTAGTTGAGTGCCATTTAAATGGTTGGGCTCTAGTCTACCAGTAAGTATTTGATTAAGTATTAATGTTAAAATTATGAATTCCTTTGCCTTGCAGGTGCAAACTTAAGCCACCACCCGCCTCCTGCAAGTATTCTGAAGTCAAGAAACCAGACGCCCCATTTCCCGAGTGCTGTGAAATGGATGTGACGTGCAATGAAATTGCTTGGGATTAAATGTGTTTTGAAATGTTTCAATTTAAATTATTTGTTTTTTGGAAAAGGTAAAATGTATAAATAAATTATTGTTGGGCAATCCCACAGCTAAGAACTAAGTTTACTTCATAGATTCGCAATCATATTTCAAGCACATCTTAGCCAAACTTGTCAATATAAATAATTATTTATTAAAAGCAAAATTAAAGCCTAAAATGACCAAAGCATACTTTAAACTACTGTCCGTACTGGTGCTGTCAAGTCTTCTGGTTGGTAGCCAGACGGCCGAGTGGCAGAAACGCTACCACCATCCCCGTGAGTATGCCAACGGCATTCCTCGCTCCACAGATTTTCCCATTACCCCACCATTCCATAGACTTCCCAGGCAAATGCACCATCAATTCCAAACTGGTGCTCAACGCTGGAGTGACCATCAAAGATCCGACGCACGAATGCCGTCAAATTGTTTGCGGACGCGATGGCATGGTGGTGTTCCAAAGGTGAGCAAAAGATGCACTTGGATTTCTCGACTAATTGAGTCTCGGACAGCTGCGGAGTGAGCGACCTGCCGAGAAGTTGTCGTTTTGGAAACTACAAACATCCGGAGCTGCCATATCCGCAGTGCTGTACCAGGGAAAGGTTTTGCTCTGAAAAGAAGGCCGATCCATAGATGTCAACAGGATGTCATTCTAAGCTCTTTGTTTCTGTAGTAGTAAGTAGTCTCAATCTGTAGTCTGGATTCAAAATGTTTTCTCTGAATGTTGCAATATTTTTCGGTTTTGTTTTTGCCTTATGCATGGGTTTTATACCCGAAACTGAAGTCTCCCTGAACAACTATGCACATCCAGGTGAGCATATTATTAATCAGTATATGAAATATATTCCATCGTTTCTTTACAGCCTATCCCGGTCGGTGTGTCCTCGATATGGAACCATCGGTAGTCACTCTGGATTTGGGACAGGGCATAAATTTACCAAACATTCCCTGTGTGGTGCTCTACTGCATTGGCGATGGCTATGGCGCGCTCCACAAATGTAACCTTTCGAAACCTCCGGACTCATGCCGTTACGGAGACTTCCGAAAGTTGGATGCTGTATTTCCAGAATGTTGCCAGCGCGAGATTATATGCGATTAAAATTTGTAGTCAGTTCAAATTGTAGTCAGCTAAATTTGTTAGAAAGTAATGTTAATAAAATAACAGAAATACTACTGGTCGGCTCAAACAGTCTCTTTGTTTTAATGTTTTCTATTTGCACTGCCCACTGTGCAGCTACCTGCTTAAGCTTACGCAGCCGTTCTTTCGTTTCTCTATCCCACCCACCCTCTTCGCTTTGTTGCTGCAGTTTCAGCGTCTTGGCTCTATATCTTTTTCGCACGGCAGCGCCCGTTCTGTCGTCTCCCTATTCCACCCACCTTCGCTTTGTTGCTGCAATTGCAGCGGCGCCCGCGGTTTTTTTCTTGCTCTAACTGTTCTTTATGGAGTTGGTGGCTTGCCTTGGCAGAGCAGCGCGCTGATGCTCTCCTTCTATCGCTCACTCTATCTATCTATCGCCAGTCAGTTTGGCATGCACATGCATGTATGCATGTATGTATGTACAAGTTTTACAGTTATTCATTGATTTTGGTTTTGTAGCCATCAAAACATCTCCAGTCAGGCATACACTGTAGTTAGATGTCATATAACCTAAAATCATTGTATAGCAAAACATTACATTAATCTACACTCTACAACAAAATGTTGTTCTCTCTGAAATTTGCAATTTTTTTCGGGCTCATGCTGGGCGGCGTGCCTGCCGAATTGTCCGTAAACAGTTACGAGGATCCAGGTAGGCAGTAGGATTGGCATATATAAGATCTAACACCCCCCTGCTTCAGCGTATCCCGGCCGTTGTGTCATCGACATTCCCTCTTCAGTTGTTCTGCTCACCGCGGGACAGGCCTTTAAGCTGCCCAACTTGGACTGTACCACAATATTCTGCATCAGCGATGGCTGGGGCACAATATTTACGTAAGTAATCTTGTTAATAATACTCCCAAAAGGTAGCTTATATCGCGAATATTCCCCACACAGCTGTGAGAAACAGGAACCGCCAGACGATTGCCGTTTCTCAGAGCCACTGAATCCGGATGCCTTTTATCCAGAGTGTTGCAAGCGTCGCGTTGTTTGTGATTGAAAATATCAATCATTGCATTTTGTTGCTAGTTTAATTTCAATCTAAATTTGCATGCCAGAAATGAAATACAATCAAATTGCAGAGAAACCCCTTTTTGGATCATCCTTCGAGCACTTTTGTAGGGCCATAATTTTGCTCAACTTTTTATTGGTTTTTACGAGCTTCTTGGCAGCCTATGCCCCTGGCATATTTGTTGGCCAAGGTTCGCTCATAGATCCCTACAGAGTATCTCTCTCTGTATATTTTTTTGTTGTATAGCCTTTTGCCGGCCTTCAATGGATGGCTGCTTTGGCCTCCCATGGGATGGCAAATAGTTACAAATCAAGCAGAGGGCCACAACAACTCTACTCCATGGTGCCGGAAAGATAAAGGGCAGCGGAGCGGAGTGCAAAAATGTGCACAGACCACACAGCAACAACACTAATTGACATTTGAATGCGTCTGGCGGGGGGCCATGGCGGGCATTGCGGATTAAGCTCCATTGCAGGTCAAATGTTTCAACCTCGACCAATACCCATCGCTGTTTACGAACAATTGCATGGCGACCTTATACGCTTTTTTCCAGCATCAAATTCATAGATTGTGGACTGGATGGTGATCATAATGAAAAGAGTTTTAGCCTTCAATCGGAGAATTAATTCAGTAAATCCCGCTCATTGTTGTTCCCTGCTAGATGGAATGTGCCTGAGCTAATCCGCAAAACACAAATTGATTTGGCTTGGGTTGGGCATCGTGTTAAGTGCATTTAACCTGAAACTAATTAAAGTCCCTATCGTTGAGGCTGATTTGCGCATGTTTGCCAATCCGTACATCGAATAAACTAGCAGAGGATTTAGATTGCATATTTGAAGTGCATGGAAGCTTTAATGTTTTAAACCATATTCCCAGTACAGATTTAAGTGCTTGAGGGTACGAAGCTCTAAGGCTAATCGATTGTCTAGGGAGATAGAATAACAGAGAAAAAGATGTTGAAGAAAATAATGCAACAGGATTTTTTCTTTCCAATATTTACTGCTATATCTTTATCCTCTCTATGCTCTCCCCATCATATTCTACGCGTACTTCTGCTACTTTTTTTTTCCTGTGGCAGCACTGCCGTTGTTTGACCTGACCAAGGGTTGCCCCAAAGTTTTTCCCCCACACACCATACAGTCACCGCAGTAAGTTTTCGCTCAGCATAAACACACAAACAAAAAACGAAAGTGAATATTACAATTTTGTTTGGTGCTGCACGAGATTGTGGGTGGCTGTAAAAACACATGTAGTACATACAACATTTATATATTGGGGACTAACACCCACCCACCCACTGTCGGAGTAAGATATGTTCGGTGTGTGTGTGTGTGTGTGCGTTGCGTGCGGGCAAAAGGTGAAGGTGATGTTGGGCTGTTCTGCTGGTTTGTTGGTACATAAACGGAAACTGAAATAAAAGGCAGCCAAGGAAAAAGTGTACAAAAAACTGACTAAAGAGAGAGAGAGTGAGAGTGAAAAGAGAGTCGAAAACTGAAACTCAAACTCAAATTTACCCACGCTGCATGGCATATAAAATGTAAAAGGTGCAAAGGCGCTGAGCTGCTTAAAATATGCAAAAACACACGGCGGACAGTCCGATGTTCACAGCAAAAAAAATAAGAGACAGGAGCAACAGGAGAGGTACGAAATGTATGCAAAAAATGTATTTTTTGTATGTATTTTTAAATATATTTCATAATCTATTTAGCGCTGGCAAAAAGACAAAACTTGCTATGCAAAACCGCAAACTAGATCCACCATTTCTTTCAGTGCATTTACATTTATACAGCTCCATCCGTACGTACATTTTTGGTGTACAAAAAAGTCGCCGAACTACGGCGAGAGTTCTTATTTATTCATTACTTTTCACGCGTTGCGCAAATGGAACTTTAGTCTATAAAGTGTAAATGGAAACTGCTCAAAAATGCACGAAACTATCCGCAAGATGATCTCAAAAGAGGCGGAAGAAATGGAACTAGCTGGAACCAATTCAATTCAATAATTTTCCCATTCTCACGCAACTTAGAACAATTAATAATAATTAATATTTAATAATCAAGTGTTGGCTTACATTGAAATAACACAACCACAAAGTGCACTCCATTGCACGAGATCCAATCGAGATATTTGTATGTGCACAGCCCAAAACTGGCTGTCAGTCAATTTATTGGCTTCAATTCTCATTCAATTATTACAATCGCTATTTCCAGCTGGGCAAATCAACTATTTTGGGCAGCTGAAAAATAGTTTTTCAATAAAAAGTACGACTAGCGTGGGTAGCATTTTCCCTTCCTGTTATTTGGGTATACAAATATATTTCAATGTCCTTTGAAATGGAATTTTATGCAGCCCGAATGTGTGCTGGCTGTTGCCCATTTTTACTTTTATTTGAGTGAAATAAATTATGGCACTGTTGCTTCTATTTTACGAGCTGTTGCCAAAGATGGTTGCTCCTGATTTGTAGTAGTTTGGAACAGGAAGTTTTGCATGAATTATGAGGGAGACATCTGCCCTTTCTATTATTTATGAGCAGCCAATTTGACAGTGGCAGAATGGAAGAGAATACGATATTATGCATTTGGCTTGTAGGGGAGCAAAAGTTAAAGGCTAAATATATACAGAAATTGATTTGCCATGAATAATCCGCGGAGCTTGGGTTGGACAGCAGCTTAACTTCTTCTGGACACACAAATAAATCAGTTACCCAAAGCAGCGCCACAGCCCATTTGCCCTGTCCTGCAGCTTACACCCATTACAATTAGACACTGAGCAGTTTTTTTGGGCTTATGACTGAAACAGTTTCCATTACAAGACCATTATGAGCAGTCCAGAGGTGTGCGATGTGTCCACGTTAAGGGACCAGCGCTTTAGCTTAACCAACTGGCCACAAATTAAAAGAGTTTATGCGCAATTAAAGCAGATTTCATGTGGCACAGGCATGACGTCAAAGCAGAGAAAAACCAAATTAAATTGAAATAAAATCACAAATTACAAGAGCACACAATGTAGTCCAGTCAATGGGGCCTAAACACGCAGAGGAAAAACAAAAGAAATAAAATGTATGCAAAACATGCGAAACGAAAAGATTCAATCAAAATATCAGAAGAATATAATTCTCGTATATCAAATGTCTGTGGCAGCCAAACAACAACATGAAAACAAATGAATGAAAATGTAAATGCAAATTGGCAGCTTACAAATTTTAGAATATTTTCAAAGTTTACGAGCTTGGGGCAACAAATGAGTTGCTTTCGGGTACAAATTGTTGAGTAAGCATCAGTTTTTCGTTGAAAATTTACTACCCAATATTAACTACATAAATTTAAGATTTGTTCACTAATTAATTATGAAAATCTGCTGCTTAATTGTGTTAATTTATGGCAATTTTCATGGCAAATACAAACAGAATACAAATAAATACTCTGCCACTCGTTCTGGCACTATTTAATGCCTGATTATTTCTGTTTAATTCATTGATGCGGTCGTTTTCATTTCAGTTTTTAATTATGCGCGTAATTTTTCAAGCAAATTGTTTATCTGTCTGCCGCTGCCTGCCTCTTTTTTTTATGAGGTTTTGTGGCTTATTTAAATTATGTGAGAATTCGGTTGGGGAATAATCGATTGAGCGCATACATTTTGGGATGGTTGAATGGAGTGAGAAAATTGAAAAGAAATGTTTGCACTCACCTTCAGCGTAGGCCACCGACTAGAAACTGCTGCGCTGCGCCCAAGGATTCACAAAAAGATGGTAGAAAAAAAGCAAGACTGCGGCTGAGGGCGAGGACGAGGACGAGCAGGATGAAACCAGAGCGAACCACACTGTAGCCAAGTAGATGGATGCGGAGGTTGGTTTTATTTTTGTTGCGAGTTATTCTAGTCCAAGGTAAACACCAGCAAACACACGCGGCATCCGGGCACGTATGCTGCCAATTCTTTTTGTTATTCAGCTAAATTCATGCATCAGCAACTGGCCTTTGTTTGCAGTGATTTGCAACCGCTTTTCTAATTATTTTCTCACACTTTTCAACTGGGGTTCTGCACTTTTAATTAGGCCTAGAATTGTCTGGAATTAGCCGCTGTAAAAGGGATAATGATTGCTCTTCGTGTATTGTTCTCGGGAACTCTTCGCCTCATAGATTTCAATCTCAATGCCAGATTGTGTATACGCGCCGCGTCTGCGCCGTGATCGGAATGAAAAATTCAATGAAATTCGCTAATGGCATTTCAATAAAAGGACCAACCAACCAACCAACCAACCAACCAACCAACCAGCAAAGCTGACAAAAAAGACAACCTAACCACAGTGAAGCCTTTGCATGAATAATGCATTTTATTTATTATACAACTCTCGAACACAGACATCCTCTGGGTGCACAATCCGTACGGGTCTCTGTATGGTCTGCTGTGGGGTGTTGAATAATACAGAAGCTGTCGCTTAATAATGCACAGGCCATGATGAGACTCTGGGCGGAGCAGAAGATGGCAAAGCAGATTGAGTTGGCCAAAAACCCTATTTTGCATAAAGGTCATCCAGACTGGCAGCTAGCCAGTGTCAGCCATAGGACAAACTTTAGCCCAGATGTGCAACAGTAATGAAAAAGTTTAAGACTTTCCTTTAAATCTGCTCCTACGCTGGCCACTACCCCCCTCACTGCTTTTCTCTCTTTTTCTCCATTTAACTTTTGGACGTTCAACAAACAAAAAGGGAAAGAGCTTTAAATAAATTGACAACAGAGCGGTAGACCGGGAATATAATTGTAGAAAATGCAGCTAATAGTTTGCAAATGAAAATACTAAAATTCAATTAAAATTTAATTGATTTTAGCTTAAATGATAAGCGACATTTTGGGAACTTCTTTGACTTTGCAGTTATTTGGTATACAGAAATTAATCGAAAAGTCATACAAATATATGCAAAAAACTATAAATCGGCTTGGGGTTGATGCCAAAAGAAGACTGAAAAATATATTGAAATATTTAAAATAAAAAATCTATAAAAAAAAGAAACCCAATTATAGTTACAGATGTTATTAAGCTGTTGCCGATAAAAAATGAAAATTATCGTTCGCAAAAGATGCCTAAAATCAATCAAATCGATCGATAAAAGCCTGCTGATAGCATTGAGAAAAACATCTCAGAAATGTAAGTCAGAAATATTAAGCACCCCTCCAGCATGCTTTACCAAAAGGCTTTGATGTGGCTCTCTGCAGTCAATCTCTTTTCGGTTTTATTTATACATTTTAATGCGAACTCAACATCATTTGATGGCATTGGAATGGCTCATTGTTGTAACGCGTATTGCCTGCCATTGACAGAACGTGTATTCCGTTGCCGTTACAGAAGAAGCTTACCTGAGAGCGGAGGCAGAGAGAGCGCGCGAGAGTGAGAGTGAGAGTGAGAGGAAGGCGTTGAAGAGAGGCAAAGGCAAAGACGAAAGAGAGCGCAAGGGTTTGAGAGAGAGAGCGAGACAGGTGTCAATTGTGTTGTGTTACCTGTTACATGCCCTTGGCTAACACTACAAAAGTTCTCATATACATATACACACGGGCATGTGTGTGTTTGTCAGAAAAGCCGCAGTTTCAGCTCAGATTCAGAAAGGGGGGCTTTTTGGGGCCACAACGGCCTTTGAGGCTAGTGAGACATGCTGCCCCCGTACAGGAATCGTAAATTGCATGCAAATGCCCCACGTATTGGCATATAAAAAACGAAGTAAAACGAAAGAAAAAACCAAGCGACAAGAAAGGACATTAAAGTTTGTAGCCTGGCAACTCCGTCATACTCGTGAAGGGCGGGGGGGCAAGAACCTTAAGAGACACAAACACGAGCATAAAATTGTAATATTTTCGCTACATCCTCTTGCTGCTGCTGCTGCTGCTGCTGCTGATGATGATGATGATATTTTCAGATATTTTTCATTACATTGTTGTACTTTAACGACTGTTATCCTTGAGTGAAGAACTTGCCACAGGATGCTAAGCCCACATACACATACAGCAACTCAGACACACACGTAGACAGACGCATGAGCGAGGTGAGCGAGCTTTTCTAAAACCGTTAGTTGTCCGCAGCAAGAGCGCACAAAAAATATCTGTAGGCAGAGAGAGAGAGAGAGAGACGAGCAGAGAGAGCGACTGCGAGCCAGCGCGTGGGTGAGAGAGCAAGGCTGTGTGGACTGGGAGTTTGGAGTGTGGGCGGAATTTTCACCTTCGCACTTTGGAATTTTGTGTTATTTGTTTGGAATTACAATTTATTTTCAAAAAATTATTATTTTATATTTTTTTGCTGAATTAAACAATTTATTTTCTTCAACTGCTGCCACAAGTTGAAACTTTGATATTCGCTTAGCACTGGCCGAAACACTTGAAGCACACCCACTGCAAACTCACTGGGTTGTTGAATGTTTTTTGTTTTAGTTTAAACAATTGATGAATATATTTTTAAAATATTTACAAATGCGCCTCAACAACACGCACAGCACTCCGTCGCTCGTCGAATCACAACTGACCTACGGAAAATGCCACGGCTCCGTGTGCGAATCGTCCCGTAGCCTCCAACGTGTAAGCGTTCAAAAGTTTCTAAAAATCCGGCGCAAACTGTTACGCTCTCTTAGGAGCTTTTTCTGTGAGTGAGAGAAATGCTATAATCGAACATGGCTGAACGCTGCTGCTGATCGAGAATATATTTAGTTTGTGCCTTAAAAGTAAACCAATTTTATTTTACTGAAATAATTAAATATTAATTTTCGTTTAAACTTAATTTAATTAGGTCCACAGGCTACATGGCAACTACAGAGAGCTTGCACCAGAGACATCTGTCGGTGAAATGGGTACAACATTTTGAGCAATAGGGCGGCGCCACCGCAAATGTAAGTTCGGAAGGAAAAAAGTGTATAATGCGATGTCATAGGTCAACAAACACAATGTTGTTGCTGATTGTATTTATTTTTTAAATAATTTCACGATTACAGCAATCCGGATAATCAGCATTTGGGGCTGTGTATTTGCCAAACTTTTTGCCAGGCGGCAGGCCAACAACGCCACAGCTACAGAAATTAAATAAAATATTATCAATTATAATTATTGAATGTTTGAAATATTATTTAAAAACTCACGTCTGTATCTGTCCCTCGCTATTCTTGCCGCACACAACACGGGCACACATTTTGGGATGACGCGCCGTCTGGCCGTCGTTCAGCACGAGTCCATCGACCACACATTTGCCGGGATGAGCGGGGTCCTTGAAGATGCCCCGTGAAACGGCTGCCTCAGTCTGAGTGCCCAGCAGCAGCACAGCGGCGAAAAACAATAATATTCCTGTAAGCAGCTGCATCTTCACTTCAGAGATTCAGAACTTTGACTAAACAACTGAGCGATAATCTCAGACTTAATAGGAAAGCCCAGCGATCTGTTGAGGAGGGCTGGTCAACCGGTTCAACCAACAAAACTAGCTGCGAGTGGGGGCAGAGCCGAGGCAGCGGCAGAGTATTTATGGATCCACTCAATTATCATTTGAATGCTAATAAAAACACTTATCAATATTCTTAAAACCACTCAGGGAGTAAACAATATTTAATTTAATCTGGCATATTATTTTTGGGGTTCACTTTTTCTTACTTAATTTCATTAACAATAATTTCACGACGACAGCAAGCGGGATAATCAGCTTTTGGAGCCGTGTATGCGCCAAATCTAGTGCCAGGCGGTGGATCAACCTTAGCACATCTAATTCAATGCTAAATTACTACCCTGAAATCGAATTATGCTCAACAAAAACTCACGTGTGTATCCCGCCTATGCTGTTCCTGCCGCACCACAAAAGTGCGCACATTTTGGGATGACGCATCCACTGTCCATCGCTCATAATGTGACCATCAATTACACATTTGCCGGGATGTTGTGGGTCCGCAAAGATCGCTTGCATTGAATCTGCCACAGTTCCGAACAGGAAAAGGGCGGAAAAAACTATAAAGATTGCCGTAAAATGCATATTTGCAACAGCGCTACAGTATTTAAACAGAAAAACTAAGCGTAATCTTGAATTATCAGTTGAATGCTCGTAAAATTATGAATATATTCATGCTGCCAAAAGTTCAAGCAAAGGTTTCGGCGATTAACTTTATCAGCTCTTTGTATTAGGTCATCAAGTCTATTAAGTCCGTGTTGCAGCCTATCGCACAAAAGTATCAACAAGAAATATTTTTAAAATGTACCGGCAGGATGTCCGTTTACAGGATATTATATCGTTTTCGGGGGGATAATTGGGCTAAGCTCGTATTATTTGCTCGGTATATTTACGGTATATTTTGACTATGGTATATTTTGGTATATTTCTGTGGATCAAGCGGTATTTATTGACAACAAATCAGCTGGCACACCGCCACCCACCCCGTCTAAAAAAAAACATAAATAAAAACTTGTATTCAACTCAGGTACGTTGTTCAACACTGGTGACGCGCGTATCTCGTTTTTACCGCGGAAAGTAGAAAATTAGCTTATTTCGTAAAATAGAGCCTAAACTCGCTTATAATAAGCAATAACCCGATCACCCGTGGTTACCCCACATCCTGATAAAAACGGCGGGACAAAAGTGGCAGTAGATCCGTATTTTTACCGGATAACCTTGCCTCTCAGCAATGGCGGCCCAGCAAAGCCAGTAACACGGAAGCTAGTGCAGCGTAATCCGGAACCATGGCTGGCATAGGAAGGACCAGGATGGCCACGGAGAAGGCCACAGGATCAAGGATCCTAGTGGAGACGCGGAAAAAGAGGGAAGGAGACCCCAGACCTGCTTTCTCGGCAGGCGTAAAAATGGCGGGAAAAACAACAGTTACGACGTCAAAAACCACCTTGAAAGAGAAAGAGACGAAAAACAAAACTACCAAAACAATTACAAGTGAGAAAGAGAAAGCGGATGTGGATGTTTGTCAGACGTCCGTGAGTACAAGATCAACAACGACAACTAACAACAACAAGAACAAAAACAACAACAACAACAAAAACAGCAACAGCAACAAGGACAACAACAACAAAAACGTCAACAACAAATACTACGAGGGCCACAAAGGCCCTTTTGTAGTGTATATAGATAAACTAAGCGATAATAATTCCAGGATCGCAATTAACCAGTTCGAGCTATCCGAACTGTTGATAAAACTGGGACTTGGCGGTATAGAGGAGGTCGCGAGGGTCGGCTATGGCAGGTGCAAGATTGTATGTAGGTCGGCCGACGGTGCAAACAGACTTGTGGAAAACAGTGCCTTCGCCGCCCACGGGTACTCTCCCCGAATTTTGCGGCACTTTGTGCAAAGGGCGGGTCTAATCTTTGGGATCCCTGGCCACCACTCGGAGGAGCAGCTCTCGGAGCTGATCATCTCGGACGTCCCCATAGAGGGAATACAACGGATTTACAGAACAGACAGAACCTCGGGGGATAGGGTACCCACCGGCAGGGTCAAACTATGGTTTAGAGGGGAGCAGCTGCCCAAGGAAATCAAGTTCCTATACACCAAGGTAGCAGTAAAACCTTTCGTCCAGTTTAGCCAATGCTTCAGGTGCTTCAGGTTTGGTCATATGGCGAAGCACTGCAAGAGCCTGCCTAGATGCTTCAAATGTGGTCGGGACCACAGCACCAACACTCTATGCTCGGGGCTAAGCTGTGCTAACTGCAAGGGAAACCACGCGGCTACGCACCCGCAATGCGAGGCCAGAAGGAAAGCGTATGCTATTCAAAAAAGCATGACGCTTGAAAAATTATCACGATCTGAGGTCAAGGCTAGGTACCCGGTACTCTTTGGTAGATCTCCACCCAACCCAGGGGACCCAGGGGAGTTTCCCCCACCCACATGGCAAAACGGCATCCTCCCCGAACGCCAAAACAGCAACACTGAGGCAGCTAGGGAAATTCACTCGGTTGCTTCGTTCGCCGAGGTGACCAAAGCCAAAAGAGCGGCAGCACGCAATACGGAGTCGGCTAAGGCAGCTGCCAACATGGCAGAATGGAGGAACGCTATCAACGCAGATAGCCCACAGTTAAGTGAGAAATTCGTGAGAACAACTTCCGGGGTCTCATCTGTGGCCCAGGAAAAGCTTAACGCACTGGGATCCATGCTTACAGCGTTCCTGGTGGAACCCATCAACATTTCCAAGGGGGATTTGGTGAAGAAGTTTTTCCAACAGATCTTGGAGTATGTTAACTCCTCCAATGCTGATCTCGACCGTTTGCAAATTGTGCAAGGGGTGGAAGCGGGATACTCTAACAAAAAACAATGAAGATTCTACAACTAAACATTCAAAGTCTGACTTACAACAACAACAAACAGCTCCTCAATATGTTTCTAATAAACAACGAGATAGACATTGCAATCCTTTCGGAGATCTGGGTTGTAAATAATGCCGACTGCAGTATCTTAGATTACAACTTCATCGGCAAGCCCAGAG